AAAAAAAAAATAAAACAGGATGTGATAGTTCTTCATGTGTTTTTGTGCAAATGTTGGCACTTTCTTAACCTGTCTTGCTACTCTTAGTATTTTCACTGATTATAAATTCTAGAGTTTAAAAATTCTGTTGACAAACCTTCCAATTTAGCAAACACCATTCTGAGGATCTCTGAAGTCAGGACTTTCAGTTGATCTGACCACTTTCCTTTTGTGTTCCCTGTTTTTGGAGCAGTAGTTGCTTCACTGTTGGTCATTGCCTCTTGGCTGCCTTGCCAGATCTCACTGGGCATCGTGCTGGAGCTGATGTCAAAGCATCCGCCATCTCCTCAACAAGTGAAGCAACATACTACCAGTAAGTTTGAATTGCGAACTGCTATTTACCTCAGTGCAACATAATTTTTGTAATTTTTATCTTCTGGAATTGGATGAGAAACAAGCTGTACATCAAGCTGCAATGCAATGGTTGTTCTCAAAATCCTACCAATCCAATCTCTGGCTCACTGTCAGATGGGTGAGAATATAGATGGTCTCCTACAAACTGAGTGACATGTCATATAATGTATCTCCAATTCTGTCTAACACTTGCAATCTGGCACATCTGAGATTATCTTTTGCCTAGAACGCCAATGAAAAGCAAAGCATGTTTGTTGATTGATGTTAACAGTGTCATATGAGATTTCAGACCTTATCTCCTCTGAAGAGACCGGAATATTGCTTTTAACTGTCTTTCCATTTAACACCTCACAGGTATAAGTTACTAATGAATTTGTCATAACGTTATTGTTTAGTTTTCTGACAACAGAATCTAATTTCTTTTCAGTGTTAACAAGAAATCTTGTATGTTTAATGTTCTTGAGAGGGCCCTTTACCCTAAGATTTTGACTTTTCTTATGATACTTCAGTTCTTTTTGGATAGCATCCAGAACAATTTTTATCACTTTGGTTGTGATGTACTAAACAGAGGTTGAAAAAAGATTTAATGCCAGATGCAGGCTTTGAACTGACAGCATGACTTTCTTGTTTGAAGCATTTTTGCAATTTTAAACAAATAAATGACTTTAACTTTTAAAAAATTGTATGAATGGTCTTATCATTACTATGAACTGTAGGTTCACATGTTGATTTAATTTTTCTGGTCTCTAACCAGGAATATTTGGTTGGATCTTTACCATGTACAGCTAAAAATTTCATAATCTTTTTACTCTCAAACTATATTTCTATTGGATCTTTTCAGTCCATCAGCATTTTCGCGGTAAGTTTGGTGTGCTGATGAAAATAACAGAATGTCTGGGGGCACTGATGTGACTAGATGCCATGTGAAGTATTTTTAATACAGCACCTGCTATTTCTTGGGCTGCAGAATGGATTTCTACCAAAGAGAATATCTGGCCCACCCATTCTTGGTGTGATACATCTCATGGTTTTATTGAGGTAAAAAGAAAAGCTTCTTGACCATTTTATTGATGAAGTGTCCAAGGGACATGGAAAGTATGTCTTTGAGCACTTCTACTAAAATACTTGTAACTGCTTTCTGAAGCTTTTTGTATTTTATGTATTTCATCTTGGTTGAAAATCTAAATGCCTTCATTCAAACATGGCATGTCCTTAACAAAATCTTTATTATAAGCTGGAAGGGTGGTATTTAACCCCCAATCTTGAAATGTTACTTGCTTGAAAAAGCAGACCCTGTATATAAGCTGACATTTCTTTTGTATTTAAGACCAGAAATTCTCCTTGCTGACAAGTGATCAGGAACTTATTCTTGTAATGTTCTTATTTCATATTTGAAAGTTGAAATCAGTACACTTTCTACAATTTTGTTTTCTCTTCATTTTCATCAACAGAATAAAGGACCATGCTAGAGACATTAACAGGTGGAGATATATGCCCATATCTATAGCCACCAGCTTTTCTAGTACTGGCAAGTCTGTTTAGGGCCAGGCTGGTCTTGAACTTGTGGTGATTCAACTCCCTCAGCCTCCTAAGTGCTAGGATTACAGGTGCACACCACCACACCCAGCATTCTCAATGAGTTTTAATTGTAACAAAATACATATGACATAAAATTTACCTTTTCAAAGTGTACAGTTCAGCAACATTCACAATGTTGTTTAATTATTGCCACTACCTAGATCTTTTACTACATTTAAAAAAAAACTATTACATAGACTAGAAAATGGCAAATTGACACGTACTTTGGGGTGACAGTACAAAGTTGAAAGATACTTGTTTTATATAAATAATCCTAAATTAAACACTTCTGAGAATAACATCCAAGCATCAATGGGGAAATGACTCGTCTTCTTGGTCTAAATTGTTCTAAATCCATTCCAACATATATGAGCTAAGAACTTCCATATGTATCATATTCTTATTACCAGAGATCATTACAGCAGACCTTTGTGTTTACTCAGGATTGCTGAATATTTTTTGATATATAAAATAGGGACATTCTTAGAGTTTTTAATGAAATATAATGATAAATAGAATCTCAGTTTTCAGTTTATTTTCACTATACTATTAAACCAAGAAATATTTTTTGGTGAAATTGTATTTTTGTGTTTGTTACATGGTTTATTAATTGAACAGGCATATTTGTGAAAGGGTGTGAAAGAGGGTGTGGTGGTCCCCCAAGCCCTCCTCTCACACGTTTTTGCTGTTTAGCCGAAGTTGGGGTACACCAAATTCACCTTCCTGGCTTTGCCAAGTCCATATTGAAGTTCTCAGGTAACCAGGTTCTTTCTTTTGATAAGTAACCAATTTAAGATTCTTGTTGCTCCTAAGAAAATTAGGGTACAGATCCAGGCATCCTGGCTCACCTGCCTGAGAGGTAGGATGCTCAGTCCTGAGCCAGGTCTGCAGTGGTCTGCAAAGGGATTTCCATGAATGGTTTCCTGTTATGGGGTGGGTTTATGATACCTGATGCTTTTCCTGTGATAATCAGACATCCCAAGGCCCCCAACCTACTCTCCTGAGCCTCCTGCCCAAGGGCTCAATACTCTCTTTTAACAATAACTTTGGATGCCTGCAAGCCCCAAGATTTACTGGGAGTGAAAGCTGAAGAAGAGAATAATGTAGTAGGAGGCTGACTAATGTTAATAGATGACTTCTGGTTAAAAAACTCATAGATTTTTCTCATAACAAGTTAGGCAGTATTCTTACTCTGTTGCTTTATCAGTACATGTCATCATACATACCTTTTCTTGACAGTGATGGTGATAGTAGGTCTGGTGTCTGAAAGGTAAAAAGAAATTGATTTTTGTTATTTTTGGTGAATAATTTATGGAATGTTCCCTTAAATTCTGATAGCATGGTTTTTATACAGTTTAGATTATCTTGCAATGAGCCAGGAAAATGAGAGTGAGAGAGAAAAGAGAGTGAGAGAGAGAGAGACAGAGAGAGAGACAGAGAGACTAAGAGGGACAGAGACCGAGACAGAGACCCAGACAGAGACACAGACAGACAGAGACTTTTTCCTGTTCTGCTTGACCAAAGCTTTGTGATAATTCATATTCTACCTATCTCCTCAAAACCCCTAGTCTCCTTTCACAGTAGGAGAAGATTCACAGATAATGATTAAAATTATGGTTTTCTCATCATAGTACCCAATCAAATGTAACTTTCTGAGGTATCATGTTCTAATGAAAATTATTATCACCTGTCATAGAAACAAAAACACATTTTACTAAACTGTAACAAAAGGACAATGCAATCATGTAAACTGTAGACCAAAAAAGTTCAAAAAACAAGGTCAAGTCTGCAATTCTGATTTATTTTCACATTTTTCTGCCAACATGACCTTCTTAAAGGAAAATGATATTCTGTCTTCATTTTTCCTTGGAATGAGTCTTATGTTATTGAATTTATTTTTCTCTAAGGCCTACAATTCGATTTTGAGAAATATAGTCACAGTGAGAAATTACAACCCAACTCTTGGTAGGAAAATGTTTTACCCTCAGTAATAGTGTTAGGTAGCAATAGTTTACCTTCAGATGAATACCTATTTGCAATGTAGAACCTGGAGTCTGAATGCTGATCAGGATATAGTTTCTATCCTTGGCTTCATTTACTTTATTAAGATGCAATTTGTCAAGCTAACTGGCATAGTTTTTTCCTGTTGGTCCTCTGCATTCTAAGGTGCCTAGATTCTTTTTTTTCCTGCTGTATATCATAGCACAGGCGGCAAGTGGAACCCAATGATTCCTGTGTGTTTTATGCTACTTGGCCCCATAGGCTTTCTGTCCGGAAGTTATGCATTTAGATAAAGAGAAAAAAAAAAAAGACTGGAGGGAAAGCTAACTAAATAAATGAGAAAAGCTTCATGTAAGACTATTAGAAATTAGTTATATCAGATATAATCTAGTATTTTAAATTTTTAATGGACAATCTTTTGGAGTCCATTGAGCAAAAACATGCAAACAAATGGGCTGTTATACTGGGAAGTTCTACCATAATTCCAGGGGTGCCGACAGAGTCCACCCAGTCTTGCCTGCTCTGAGGTAGTTCTTTCTGATATGTCTCTGATGATGTTGGTACTACTTACAGTAAAGCATCCATGATTTAGATCATTTGTGGTGCCAACTCTCTACTTCTTAAATGCAAGAGACAGTGACAATGAGTTCAGAATCCCCAAAGAGGAGGCACAGTTTTCATACTTTAATTTGCCATGGGATAAAACTATTAATAGACCTTTCTATGCCTGATCTTCCCTTCCACATAGCCTCACTTAATCCTAAGGATACCTTAAACATATCTTCACTTGGCTGGCCAGCCACCACCCATAGATTAATGTAATAAGACTAAATTTTAGTCAGTTGTCCTAATTCTTCTGAATATGTCTTAAATTTCATTGGCTTATATTTAATTCTACCAGTATGTTAGGTCATGGCTTTGGAACGATGTCTGACACCTCCTGATTATCCAGACTACATAGTCTATTTTTTTTTAAATTATTTTTTCACAGTCTATTCAATTTCCAAATCATTCACTCCTTAAAATAACTGGGAGGAGGAGGGATTTGAAAGCAGCACTTCTGTGTCCTAGTATCAGTTTTCTAAGCAGTTCTATGGATGGCTGACATTTTATTCACCACCATTTTGTCCTCAACTCACTCTCTGGTATTATTTGTGTCTTCCTGTCTTTTCTCTTGATATATTGTAGGATACAGGTGAGGCCAGGCTTCCCTGCTTCATTGATCTTGGTACCCAGCTCAGACCCAGCACTATGCTGTCAGCAAAGTAGGCTCCCAAGAAAGTTTGGTAAACAAATTCCCATTTAATATGTTTTAGATCTACACATACTTCTCTTTGCTCCAGCACTGAGGCCTTTGCTCAGACCACAAATAACTAATGGACTTGTACAACCAGCTCCTAGCAACTGTCTTCAATTTGTCCTACAGGTTATCAGCAGAGGCATGCAGCAGGCATGCTGATTCCAGAATCCCCACTCCTTCTCGCAACCATCAGACATCAGCCAAGGAATAAAATGCAGTCTTTAGGGCAACATACTCTTGCCTTCTTGACTCTACTTCTCCTCCTCTCTTCCATCTGGATCATAGGAACATGCTCATTATCTAATGCAAAGCTTAACTGTTGCAACTGTTGATCCTTACCACTATCCAACATTTTTTTCCTCTTGTCCTGATTTCTTTGGTCCTTAATTATATTTTATTAAGCTAACTGTATGTCTTTTGTGCTAGTGTTAGAAAAACAGAGAATTAAGGAGCTGAAGGATTAGAATAGAAAAGATATACATGATGGAACAGCTGTGATGTATCCACAGTTGAGCCTTGTGGAAGAGCTGCATCAAATGAGGACAAAAGCAAATGCCTTGAACTTACATCACTGTTTACAAAGTGAGGGAATGTGATGTGGGTGCCAGGAAAGAGCCAGAGGAGGTGACACTGTTGTTAGCTAGTTTTTGGTTTTTTTGGTGTGTGTGTGTGTACATGAACTCTGGTCTATGTTATGCAGGTATGGCTAAGGTATTTGAACCTCATATATCTCAGAGGAATGGTGAGAAAGCTCCAGGTCATATGTGAGTTTCCCTTGATTGAGTTTAGCTGACCTAAGATTTTTAACAAAATCATGTCTGGGATTTTTTGCTACCAAAAAAGACACAAACGATTTTGTAGCTCTGTGGTTTAGGGTAGAGGAAGAAGGAATAGAGAGGCAGGATTAACACTTTATAAACTGCATGTAATTATTACTCTACCACATTTATATATAAACGTATCCAATATTTGGAGTACTCAGTTTATTCTCTGTGGCATATTTGAATGTCAGGAGCGTGCAGCAAGCCAGACAAACTAACATGCAGCAGCCCTTCGCTCAAACTCCTTCTCTAGGAAGCTTGGTTGACACAGTTTACTACCATGCGACCAACCATTTGTATGGTAATTTGGGATTTATAAAGCCTATTCTGTATTTCATTTGTTTGTTGAGTATTTAAAATATATGTGTGTTCTGTTGAGTTATTTCATGTGCATGAAATGTTGTTCGAGGTTGAAAAGAACAGCATATTAGCAAAACAGGTGTTCATCAAGGTTTGAGGGCAGAAAGGCCCCTGGGCTAAAAATAAAAAATCCTTTATTTTCCATCACTAGAGATTAATTATTTTAGATTATAGTGCAAATACTCTTAGGATGAGTTAACAGCAATTAATACTATAAGTAGCAGACTATTGTATTATCACTAGGAGAATAATAACTTCAAATGGTACAAGCAAGGATGCACTTTTAGCCAGGAAAATGAGAAAAGGCTAGATGCAAATCCTGGAAAGTTACCTGGAGAGGAGAGGTGGTGAAAGAGAACGAAGGCCCTGGGTGCTGAAAGACCACAGAACCAAAGTGAGAATAGACAGGAAGATGTGCAAGAGTGTGCCTGACTGCACTATTAGCTTGGTTCTGGGAGGTTACAAAAACATGGCAGATTCACTGTATACAAGTAGAACTATAAGAATGAAGGGAGAATGAGAGAAATCTGCTTGAATCACTAAAATAATCTGTTAATTTATTAAGTTTTCTTTGTTACTTACTTATGTGATGAATCACGAGATGGTTCAATTCTCTGTGCTGCAGGTAGAATTTTTAGACAGAAAAAGAAAATTACTGTTTGTTGATATCCTTCCTATACTACTTGTGAAAATGGCAATTAGCATTTCTTACTAGGTTTTTATTCCCTGCTACCATTTACTCTGTTTCAACCCTCTAAGGATTCCTGGGAGCATAAAATGAACGTTAAAGTCTGGGCCTTCTCCTGCCTTGATACCTGTGCTACACATATTCTATGGTCAAGAGTACATAGCAACATGCAGCTCCATACACATAATCGTGGTTTCCCACTTCAGGATCTTTGCTCTTACTGTTTCCTTTGTCTGAAACTCTAGTGTCCCTCTTTTCAACTTCTAATTCTTTAGGATTTGTTCAGTTCAAGTTGCCTTCTCCAAAGAGACTTTCTTAAAATCTACCTAGGCTTCTGTTAATGCTCCCCAAACACCCTGTACATCCTTCTGTTATAGGATTTGCTGTCATACTGTAATGATGAGTTTACAGTGTCTACAGCATGGTAAGCACTCAATAACATTTATTTGTTGAATGAATTCTCTTGTTCATTAGTCTGCATATCATTAATCTCTTCCCACTCAAACACCATCTAACGTGTTTGTGTGCCATCTAGTTCCATAAGAGAATTTTAGTAAATATTTATGGTAATGATATTAAAGCAAGTCTTCATTTAGTACATATCCATAGAAATCCTAGGATGGCCTATGTCAGTTATGCATGTGCCTTGACTGAATGAAAGTCTAGACAAACAGAAAGCTCTAAATAATAGAAATTAGTATTACTAATTGGAGCTCAGTTCAAAGTCAAGGTGATTTAATATTTATTCTTTTCTTCCAATAAATATGGAGCATATTGTAAGTAGCCAGTGAATTCAAATGATCAGGACTGGGCATGTAGCTCAGTGTAGAGTGCTTGTCCAGTATGCATGAGGCCTTGGGTTTGATTACCAGTACCACAAAAAGTTCCAATGATCTGCTTAAATTTTTTTTACTTCAATTCTGCATACCTTTTTGAGTTTCTTTGGGTACGAGTATGTTTTTATGTGTGTTTCAGTTTTTGGAAAGAAGGATCTGAATTTAATAGTGCATAAGTCTGAGAAATTAAGTGTGAAAATGAAACTGTCATGGTTTTAGAGCATACCCACAAATTCTTTGACACTCTTCCCACGTAAGGGCGTAGAGAGGGTAATTCTCTTCATGAGTGTGTGCTGGACTTAGCAACTTGTTTCTACTCAATAGCGTATGGTGGAAGTGATGGTGTGTAACTTCTGAGACCTCTTGGGGGGCCGACTGCTATCTCATGAGCTGTGTGATGAGGTTGAGACCAGTAGCCAGTAGGGAGTTGAGACCCCTTTCTAAAAGTCCTGTGAGTGAGCCACTTTGGAAGTGAATCCATTAGTCCTAGCCAAATCTTCAGATGCCTACAACAGACCTGGATGACACCTTGATTGTAACTTCATGAGACACTGAATCACAACCACCTGGTTAAGCTGCTTCCCATATTTCTGACCACAGAAACTATCAGGGGTTTTTAAGCTGCCAGGTTTTGAGGGATTATTTATTACTCAATAAAAGATATCTAATGCAAAACTTTTAAAAACCTATTGTTTTCAGCAAAATGGAGAATTAATTACCCAACAGCCTAAATCTGCTAAGTCTATTAGAAATGCAATGGGAATTTAATGTAAATGCAGTTATAGTGGAGAATGTCAGTACACCTGGCTGATGGATGGAAACATCCAGTAGACAGTAAGAAAAGATAATCTAATACTTGAATATCAGTAAAGGCATTGAATAATTGAATAATATAATCATTAAACATAATTTAATATTCATTTATAGACTTACATCTTTAAGATAAGGAATAGATATTCTTGGCATGTCCATGGAACACTTTCAAGTTTCAATCACATATTTGGCCACAAAGAAAACCTTGACTTCAATATGGTAAAGAATTATAGGCTATAACCTAATGAAGTTATTATTTATTTTATAACCTCTTTGAATCCAGTCTATATTTCTAATTCCATTTTCCCTCTTTTGCAAAGGCAAAATCTGTCATTGTTCAATAGTTTTCCTTTGATAACAGGATAAAAGGTAAGTGCTTGGCACAGCCTACCAGAATCCTAACAATCCAGTCCATAAGGAAATAATTACCAGCCAAGATTTGTCTTCTGCAGTTCTCTACTTTGAACTTTTAGCTAAAGCAATTATGAAATGATTTTCATTTCTACAAAATATACCATTCTCTAATGTCTGTATCTTGGTAAATGTATTCCTTTTCCCTGGAAGATTTTTTCTATGGTGTTTCATTTGTCTGTCTGGAATAGTCTTTCTCATCCTTCATGTCTCAGCTAATCGTGGCTTCTTCTGTGAATGTTTCCCTGTCCTTCCGAGAGATTTTATACATACCTCCATTATGTACTTATTCTATTAGGTTGGTTACTGACATGAATATTTCTCACTAAACTGTAAAGTCCAAGGGTAGGGACCACGGATTTTGCTACTTTGTATGTTCAATAATTAATGCAGTGCCCAGCATGTAGTCACATTGAGTCAATTGACTCAATGCTAGTTGAGTGAATCAATTAGTGGATTGAAAGATTCACTTCGTAACAGTTGTTAATGTTTACCTGACTCATGACTGTAGCTTGATTTCTTGGTCTTCTTTCCATTTAAACCAGCACAAATCACCTATATATGATATAAGAATAATAAAAACAATGAAACAAGCATCCCCTCAAAGACGTTTTCAGAAGATTTGAACATTGGCTATTTTTAACACTGATCCAGAAGTTTAAGAAAATGATTTAAGAACTTATTTCAAAAGTCTGTTTATAAAAATATCCATATTTTATTTGGGTTATATTACATATATTATTTGAAGAATTCAAAGGTAAATAGAGTTCGTTGATATTCTAAAGTAACTATGTACTACACTGATATGCATGGAAGGCAATCAATTGAACAGCTAACTAGGAAAAATGATTTTAGAGGTCTGGAAAGCAGAAAGCAGGTTCTTTGCATGCAGGGAATGTAATTTTTTATGTGGCTAAATTCTCTCCTTCTTTGTGTAACTCTATAGGGAGATAAGTCCCATAAAATACTTTACATTTTTCCAGGTGTGAGAGCTGAAACAAGCCACCGGAAGTACATTTCCTACCACTAATGGAAGGGAAGAAAGAATCTGAAATCTACTATCATATTCTACTGTGATCAAAGTGTTCGTGCTACTTCACAAAACAAATAGATATTTGCGATCACTTAATGTTCTCATATTGCCCAACATATTTCATAGTCTCCTTTTAAAACTGGTGGTCTAAAATTTTATTGACATTTTTAGGGTAAAGTAGGTAGCATTAAGTTTACTATCCATGTTATAGTATGGGGACATTTTTTTCTGTCTCTGTCTTGAAGCTAATAAAAAATGAATTAACTCCTAGTGTGCAACTACTAAACTATCTCAAAGTAGTTAATTTCCTTTCTTTAGACAACAGCATACTGATTATGAATGTTGCTACAGTAGCATAGTGGCCTCAGCACATCAGGTATTTCATAAATGTTCATTTATACAGAGAAGCATATTATGGCTGACATGTGACATTTTCGCCTTTACACATAAAGGTGTCTGTCGCGTACTATGCTTTTAACATAGGATATAACAAATGATGCCAGTTTCTACTTCGGTAAATTGCCTCCACAATGAAATAAATTTTTCTTAAGCCATGTTATTTTAGAGTAGTGGAAGCAGTTAAAACAGCGGTAACAGAGCTAAGAATGTGATGTGAGTATGATTCCTATAATAGCAACAGGGTGGCAGCTTCAGAAGCAATCTATGCTGTGACCAGAGGCTGCACTGTGAACATCTGCTGCTCAATTTGCAACATTAGATGGCTGAACACTGGTGACAAAGGGGACAGTGAGACAATATGGCTGTCTCTTCATGCCACTGGCACTAAAGGAGAAGTGATTCACAAACACTCAGTTGGATGCTTCCTCTGAGGGCCCAGCAGGTGCCGTGAAGTTCTGGTAGCCCACCAGATACTGTGCCTGTAACTGAGAGCTATTGAGTGGGAACACTCAAGTTGCTCCCGGTGATCACTATAAAGAACCAAGCCAAGCTGGTTGTGGTGCTGCATGCCTGTAATTCCAGCTACTTGAGAGCCTGAGAATGGACAGTGGCAAGTTTGAGGCCAGCTTGGACAACTTAGCAAGACTCCATCTCAAAATAAAAGTTAAAACATTAGCTGAGGATGTAAATTAGTGTTCCTTGGGTTCAGTTCTCATTAACACACATGCACAACACACAACACACACACATACAACCAAGGCAACTATAATATTCAAATTTAGGATCTCACAATTTAAAATCTTGGGCTTTCTTTTGCCAGTTTACAAATTATTACTGGTACTCCCCACAATTTTAGTGTAGCAACACTAACATTACTGATAACCATGGGTGTCAGTAGACAAGTAACCCAGGACTGATACTGAGTCTGCAATTTTCATAAACTCTTATAGTAGAATGGTTTATTTTAGAGACTAAGGCTTTTAAAAGTGGTCATTTACTGAATGAAAATTTTTATACCAATCTTGATCATAATTTCATACTTTTTTGGTTCTGTCTACATCTGGTAAGAAAGAAGTTTTCTTGGTTGCTTGCTCTGAAATATTCGGTAGACATTGTCTGGGGACACTTGTTTGGGAAGTAACAGCTTCAAAATTAATGAAGGCATTTTTCATTCCTGGGGAAAACAAGAGGTATTGTTAAATATAAGAAAGGGATATAGTTCTCTTTGCTGGGCTACCATATTATCTAGACTTACCAGAGTCAAGGATATATTTATTTCTGCAATGTAAGGTAGTAGATCCCGGGATAAGATAACTTGATGCCATTTTGAATTTCTCTGCCTGTACATGTCTACTGGTTCACCACTGCCTTAAGGATAAGCCTCAACTCCCAAATCTTTGGCTCAAACTTCCTTGGCCAGGGTAATTTCCCCTCACCCACCTACCACTCCAGCAGAATAAACTGTTTTACACTTTATTCAACAGGCAAGGAGAAACCTCTGAGGACTTTCAAGTATAGGAGTGGGTGTCCAAAGCTGTCTTTCAGGAAGATTACACTCACAATGACATGTAGCATAGGTTAAAAGGAAGAAGAGATTGAAGACAAATTATTGCAGTAGTTAGGGCAGGAGTGACAAAATAGGAATGGAAAGTTACGAGAATTTAAGGAGTAGATGAGAATGGGAGAACTACGGGATATGGAATATGAGCAATAGGAAAAAGCCAAAGATGAGTCAGGTTTTGTGCCTGAACAAAAATAAGAGGAACACAGCAGGTTTGGGTTCACTGGAAGTTGATACAATTGGTTTTGTGAATATTAGATTTGAGGAGCTTGATGGCCACCTGGGTGGAGATGTCCTATGTGTCCTTCATAAGTGTGTATGTGTATATGAGTGAGAATATACTTGGGAACCTTTTGGGGAGACAGTTAAATGTGCTGGAGGACACTTGTAATCCTAGCATACTTGGAGGAGGCTGAGGCAGGAGGATTGCAAGGTTGGGCCTAGTCTGGGAAATTTAGAAAAACCCCGTCTCAACATGAAAAATGAAGAAAAGGGCTGGGGATATAGTTCAGTGTGAAGGCTCTGGGTTCAGTCTCCAGTACAGAAAAAAATACCCAACAACAAAAACTCGCAAAGACTTATACCTGGAGATATGGAAAACAGAATGCAGTTATATGTTTGGGGAGAAAGGATGGTAGTAGAGGGTGAGGATCTACTTGGGTAGAATTCTCTGTACTGGAACTCCCAAAGCATAGTATAGTATGTTAGGAACTTCGTGTATCAGGACAAGAAGCTGAAGCACAGATTCTAACATCCACATATCTTGTAAATCCCAGAGGGTCTATTCACCCCACAATTACTCAGAAATTATAAGATAATAACATTTATAATTATGAAAAAATTTTCATTTTCTAGTACCAAAACAAGTATGGATTTTATAATCAGGAAAAAGCACAATTTCAAGAACCTTATGAATAAACTACATGTAACTGAAACATAGCAGAACAAGAATATTGTTCATTTTCTTACCTATGTTTTTAAAGGGATCTGATGTTCTGGTTGTTTCTTTATGTTTCTGTATGGGTAGTATTCCAAAGAAAAATATGCATTAGTAATTAGGTTTCTAAGAAGAGACTTTTGCCTATTCCAGAGCAATGAAATTAATTCGGTACCATTCCCCAAACCCTCTGTCCTAAGCATGGGTCTCAATGCTAATTCATATTCTCAACCTCCTTCTTGATAACCCTCACAGGTACCTAAACCTAATTCATTTCAAATCAAGCCCTCTGTACATAATTTCTCCAAACTTGCTTCTTCTCCTTTATTTCTCATTTTGGTTAAAAGCGTGGCAATCCACCCAGTGGTCCATTCTAAAAAGCTTAGAATTATTCCACTTATTTCAGATAGGACCAATCCAACCCAATCTAATGCTTACTGGGCACACTGTCTGGAACTGAAATAAGATATGTAATTTCTGACCCTAAGAAGCTTATCATCCTGTAGAACAGACAAATATGACAAAGTATAATGAGTTCTGAGATAGAGATAAGTCTGAGCACTATGGGAGCTCAGAAAAAAGATATCTCCTGCATTGAAACCTGTACATAAAAACTGAAACAGCATTATCATTCTAACTCTTGATCCTGATATGTAAACTTCATTGGATTAAGAAATATCTACAAATTAGTAAAGCACACACTTGGGTGTGTGTGTGAGGGTCATGGAGGCACAGCCTTGGGTTCTATGTGGTCCCTCACCAGTTCCTCTCTGACACTGTTGCCCTGCTCTGCTCCCTGGCAGCCATGAATCAAGCAGCTTTGCTCTGCCGTATCCTTCTGCCATGGTGCTTCTGCCTTGGAGTCAGCCAAATATGGGCAGAATCCCTCTAAACCAGGAACCAAATTAAACCTTTTCTCCCTTAGGTAGTGAGTGTCCAATGTTGTAGGAAAATGCATGCACCTTGAGACCATAATGTCAAGTGAAATAAAGCAGATACACAAATTTAAATATCACATGGTTTTTCTTATATAGGAAACCCCAAACATAAATAAAGAGCGAAATAAAAGATAATAGAAAACAGGGATTTAGATCTTTTGTGAAGGAGGAAAGAGGGGAGAAGAAGGGGATGAAAAAAGAATTAAGAAGTGTTATGTACATGTATCCACTCCCCAAGATGAATGTAATTATTATGTGCTGCATACATGTATAGTACCAATAAAAATAAAAAAAAGCAATCTAACTCCGAAATATCTTGAGTCTGTGGTCCCTTACCCTAATTGCCACTGCCTTAATTTGAGTTCTTACATTTTATCTGGACTATCCCAGTAAACTTGAAATTATCTTACTTCTAATTTTTTTTCCTCTACCATCTATCTCACATGCTCCAACTAGATTATCTTTTTCAAATCCAAAATCATTCTTTTTTTTCAACATCCCTACTGAAAGTCTTGCAGTGGCTCACTATTACTGAGGAGATACGTTAGCAAGGTATACAAGGCTCTGGTTTCAACCTCCATTTTCATTTTCATCTCCTGTAACTTGTCTGGCTATCCTGGCTCACAACACCATGCTGTCATTTACACTTTTACTCATCTGCAGTATTGCCTCACTGTATTTACAATCCATTCATCTGGAAACTTCTACATTTTAAGACTGAATTAATTCAATTACACATTTTCTTTAATAAAGCCTTTTTAGACCTCTCTAAGCAGGATTAGTCTCTAGGTCTTCTGTATTCCCACTGAATTTTGTACAAATCAAAACTTAACTCTCATTTTACTTGAAGGCCTTTTGTTTATGTGTGCCCGAACTTTAGATAGTGACTATGTCCTTTTCATCTCTGTATCCTACATCACCTACATTTTCCCTTTTCTCTTCTTTCAAGTCTAGCATAGGATCTGGCCCACAAGAATGTTAGCTGTTATCATCATATGTTTAAGTTCATTTCTGCTGAACTACATGGTACACTTAGCGTGAAGCTGGTTCAACACCTTCTTTCCCAGGGAGAGTTAAGACCTATGTAGGATCCTATTATGCCTAACCAGTAAATACCAAACTGGTGAAGGGGCTATCTCATGGAAATAAAAGTTAATTAGATAAACTAATAATTAATACAAAGTATATGAAATATACAACTTTCTACCTTTTGTTTGGTTGCATTATTCTGTACATACTGCTTAGAGGGTAATGAAGTTGATAATTTCTGAGCACAAATCTTGTTATTAATTTTAGGAATGTGAAATGACCCTAAAAGTAAATAAAAGGGAAATTGTGTAATCTTAAAACAGGAATTATAGTCTAAATAAAAAAAATTACAATATTTAAAAATATATGATTTTTACTTTTCACACAGAAACCCATAGAACCAACACCACGATCACATTTCCATCACCCCTACCCCCCTCAAGTTTCCTGTGCGCCCTTACAGTTCATTGTCCAGGCAAACACTCATCCTGTTATCATAAATTAGTTTCCACTTCCAAGAATGTAATACATGGAATAAAACAGAATGTACTTTTTTGCCTAGCTTTTCTCATTCAGGATAATTATTTTGAAATTCATCAATATTGAAACATGTATTAATAGTTCATTCCATTTGTTACTGAATAGTATTCTATGTTATGTATCAACATGTTCATCCATTTACCTGTTGAAAGACATTTAGGTTGTTTCCAGGTTTGAGCTGTTACAAGCAATGCTGTGATGAACACTGTTGTGCCACTCCTTACATGGGCATATATTTTGGCTTCTTTTGGGCACATACTTAGGAGTGGAATAATGGGATCACATGGTAGATGTAAGTTTAACTTACATCTGTCTTCCAGAGTGGTTGTGTCATTTAAATTTTCACCAGCCATGTAAGAGAGTACTAGTTGTTCCACATCCTTGCAAACAGTTGGTATGATCAGTTTATTTAAATTCTAGCCATTCTGTAGTGATATTTTATTGTGGTTTATTTGCATTTCCTTAATGACTAAAGATGTTGAACAACTTTTCATGAACTTGTTTACTATCTGTACCTCTTCTTCACTAAAATTCTGTTCATGCCTTTCCCTATTTTATTAGGCTACTGTATGATATATATTTTCTATATTTTACATATCTTTTACAATGAACATGCCTTCAAGATATAGGTATGGGGACCCATATTCATATTTAGTTTGGAAGTTTGAGAGAGGTAAAGCTGCCATTGTGCAACAGGGCTACTGTTTCACAAATTATATACAATTTTCACATTTTTTGCCTCCTTACATGCCCTTTGCCAGAGTCCTCCATTGGCATCTACTCTTGTGGGAGGAGGAGGTAGGGGCAAAGAGATTAGAATTTTTAGCAGAAGGGATGCTATGACACATATATAGGTAGCATTCAGCAGTTTCCATCTGAAAATAGGACGACGTGGCAAGACAGTATGCCTTGCAAGCCATGCAAGTGTCTCAAGAATTTCCCTAAACATTATCTTCCCTTGGTAATTTTCCCTAAGTCTGAAAAACTTAGAAAATTCTTTAGTATACTGCATGGAAATACCTTTGTTCACCATTAAGAGTTATCTGGGGTCACCAAAAAACTCCACCAAAAGGCTCATGGATTTATTTTTTTTTTATTTTTTATTTTTTTTGTTTTTTTCCGGTACCAGGAACCGAACTCACGACCTTGCGCTTGCCAGGCAGGCGCTTTTGCCGCTGAGCTAAATCCCCAGCCCAGCTCATGGATTTAATAACCAAATTCAGTAGTGTAGCTGGATACAAAGTTAACACTTAAAAATCAATAGCATTAAAAAAAATAGCATTCCTATACACAAGTAACAAACAGACTGAGAGAGAAATTAGGGAAACCACACCTTTCACAATAGCATCTAAAAAGATGAAATACTTAGGAATCACTCTAACAAAAGAAGTCAAAGATCTATACAGTGAAAGTTATAGTACTCCGAAAAAAAGAGATAGAAGAGGATATCAGAAAATGGAAAGATATTCCTTGCTCATGCATAGGAAGAATCAACATTGTGAAAATGGCCACACTTCCAAAAGTGTTGTACAGATTCAATGCAATTCCAACTAAAATACCATTAGTATACCTCACAGATCTAGAGAAAACATTCCTAAAGTTCATCTGGAACCAGAAGAAGCCTAGAATAGCAAAAGCAATCTTGGGAAACAAAAGAAAGGCAGCAGGCATCACAATTCCTGACTTAAAATTATATTACAAAGCTACTGTGATAAAATCAGCATGGTACTGGTACAACAACAGACCTGAAGATCAATGGAACAGATTAGAAGATACAGATAGAAGTACAAACACACTCAGTCACCTTTTCTTCAACAAAGGGGCCAAACATGTTCAATGGAAGGACGATAGTCTCTTTAATAAATGGTGCTGGAAAAACTGGCTTTCCACATGCCCAAGATTAAAACTAGACCCATGTCTTTCACCATGAACTAAATTAAAGTCAAAATGGATCAAAGATCTAAATATTAAAACAGAAACACTAAGTTTATTGGAAGAGAAAGTAGGTAAAAATCTCCATGACATTGGGATAGGCAGAGAGTTCATGAACAAAAACAAAATTGCATGGGAAATACTTCAAAGAATCCACAACTGGGATCTCATCTTATTGAAAAGTTTTTGCACATCTAAAGAAATCACCAATAAAGTAAAAAGAAAACCCACGAATTGGGAAAAAATTTTAGCCAACTGCCTCTCAGACAAAGGCCTTCTATCTAGCACATATGAAGAATTAAAAAACATCAGGCCCCCCAAATTCAAAGACCCCATCCAAAAATGCGCCTCTGAGATGAATACACACTTCTCTAATGAAGAGATACTAATGGCGAATAAATACATGAAAAAATGTTCAACGTCATTAGTCATTTGAGAAATGCAAATTAAAACAACACTGAGACTCCACCTCACCCCAGAAAGAATGGCTATCATCAAGAAATCAACCAATAACAAATGCTGGAGAGGCAGTGGGCAGAAAGGAACACTACTCCACTGCTGGTGGGAGTGTAGATTGGTGAAACCACTGTGGAAATCAATTTGGAGATTCCTCACAAAACTAGGATTGGAAGTCCCATTTAACCCAGCTATTCCCCTTCTGGATATTTTCCCAGAAGAATTAAAGCTATCATACCACAGTGATATATGTGCACCCATGTTTATGGCGGCACCAATTGTTATAGCTAAATCTTGTAAACAACCCAGATGCCCATCCACTGAGGAATGGATAAAAACGTTGTGGTATTTTTATACAATGGAGTATTACTCAGCTATTAAAAAAGATAAACTCGAGGCTTTTGTAGATAAATGGATGCAACTAGAGACCATACTAATGAGTGAAATAAATCATACCCACATGTGTAAACGTCATATTGTCTCCTTGGTGTAGGAACCTGAAAGCCTAGGTAAAACTCAGAATGTACGATAGATGATAGGAAAGGGAAAGAAATTGCTCAAAGGAAGGAACAGCTGGGATGAGGGAAAGAAGAAAAAGAAAGAAGGCAATATATAAATATATATATGAATAACTGTGGTAACTGTATTGCTGTTGTCTGATGATGTATTAAAAGAACAGTTAATGCTCACAATTTTTTATGTTCTGATCGATTTTGCGTGCTTGTTTCTGGTGTTCTGAGCAACTGATTTGAAGGTAACAATATGCGCTGGAATTACAATGGTGAACTCCTACCATCTTGTCTAGTGATACTCTGTATTATCTCTAATATTTTCTTGAAGAATTATTTTTTTATTCTCTTTAATGGTTTGAGCAATCTTTCATTCTTACATCTGATAATCTGAGCACTGTAGTTGAGGATAGCGATATGCAATGTAACAACCACTGCTGATTTGTATTATTTTGTCTTGAGACCCTGTATTTGGGTCACTTTGAATGTTCTTGCTCTGTTTTGTTTATGTTTGTGATACTGGTATGCTGCTACCGTTCTATTTTTTTGTTTGTTTGTTTCTCATTTACTACTCTCTTTAAAATTAAAAAAAAGTTATCTGGCGTCAGAAAGAAAGGGGATATAACTTAGGGAAAGATTACTAAAAAAATGTAATTCTTTTAGCAGCACAGAAGTGCTGTGGAAATGAAAGGGCAGTGGGAGAGACAGAAAGGCTGCAGAGCAAGGAAATCCGATGTGGCTTCCCATGTGCCTTGCTCTGGGTTTTGGTTAAATGAGGTGAACACAGCGAGCGAACAAGAAGGATCACCACTCCACTCTCTTTTTAGGATTCTAGAAAGGATTGCTTCGGTCACCCTCAGCCCTGCCTCTTCCTTCTCACTTGGGCCACCTTTGTACCATAGTGTGGTCAAGCACAGCAAGGTTCTCTGAGATTTTACTTTCATAGGCTGTTCTCTTTTCCCATATGGTGCTGACATGGACTAGAGAGGGATGAGAGTCTGGCTAGGGAGCTTGCTAGGCGGAGTCACTGCGTGGGAGATGAGAGAATCTTAAGTGTCGCGGGGCAGCAGCCAGCACAGAATTGGGGGTGGGGGAATCCAGAGATCTCTACTAAGCCAGGGAGATTAAAGTGTGGCAAAATGTAAATATATATGTGAATAGCTGTGGTAACTGGGTCATGAACTGATGGTTGACTTTAACTGTGAATGTCAACAGATCAGGCACTCCCAAGAGTGGATAGGGACACCTGTATGGAGAAGAGGGGAGACAGAGGGCATTTCGTCCAAGCACCCTGACTCTGTCTTGCCCCTATGAGGTCATGGAGGTCAATGCTTCCCAAACTTCAGTGTGCATTGGAAGTGCATAGGGGTCAGCAGATCTGGAGTGGGGACTGAGAATCTAAATTCCTAGTAAGTTTCTAGTGATGCCCAGCTGCTGACCCCAGAGGGGTAAGTGCATCAGCCACACTTCTTGCCTCAGATATGAGCACCATATTTCGGAAAGAAACAGAAAGAGGGAGTGGCTCCTTGAAAGTCTGAGCCATTAGGGGGTCCCAAAAGGGTGAATCTAGAGGAACCTATTAAAAAAATCAATAGCTGAGCTGGAACGCAGAAGGAAGGAACACAGTTTGATGCAGCGGATAGTACTGGTTCTCCATGTGTGAAGGAGGCCTACTTCGGAAGTGGGTGGAAATGTTAAAATGGCAACAGCCACTACTCAGTTGGCCTTTTCTAAAAGGAACAGGGGACAAGAGTGGGCAACACTCCACTGCTGCAGAAAAATGTCACCGAATAAAATATTTCTGCTGCTATGAAGTGATGTAAGTTACTGTAGGTCTGCAAAGAC